CTCGTCAGAGCCGCTGTCTCAAACAAATGCATCGATGCAGCGACATTGAGAGGCGGGTCAAGCGAACCGATCCGCGTGGGCGGCAAACTCCACCCTCCTACTTGCTGCGCCCATCATGGTTCAGAGCGGAAGCCGCCTCCACCCCTTGAGTTCCCATCCTTCCCTCCCGCCACCCCTCCCCGACTAACGCCCGAACCGCGAGCCTGCAGCACGCAGTGCCCCTGAAAAAAACATCCTCGTGCTGCGCAATGCGATGCAAAACTCTGCGCCTCCAGGCTGTGGACTCAGCAAGTCCTGCGCTTCTTAGAAGCGTCGGCCTCCTTGCTAGTGGGTGCACCTGGCTTGACGAATAGCTCGCTCCCCGCAGCAATCTTCCTAGTGTTCGTCAGCGTGGGGATCGTCACTTCAGAGTGGGCGGAGCGCTCTCCAATGATGACCTGTATCTTCACGGACACTGTCGAGCGAACCATATTCACAGCAGCACTGTCAGGGTTTGAAGCCACGCACCAAAACGGAACGACGAATGTATTGCTCTCATCGCTCTGGGGGGACGGGGCCTCACATTTCGGGGACACGTACACCTTCGTATCGATATCCTCCAGCGCCGACGGCACCTCGACAGCGTTTGCGGGCACTTTCGTGTTGTGGGAGATAAATGGGGTAAAGGGGACTAAGATGAGCTCACCCTTCTTATAACCAGTGTTGCTCACGACCTTCTTCGACATCTTGGTAGATGCAACGGTGACATCGGCGCGGTAGCGCACGAAGGCGTGCTTCAGCGCGCATCGCACATGGGGGGGCAAGCACTACATGGGGGATCCTCCTCATCCTCCTCCGTCACCCCTCCTTCCCTCGTGGGGTTTACCTGACTGGGGTGCACGGAACCTTCGGGCAGGGCCCTCCGTTGGGCCCAGAATGAGTCCAGCCCGTTGGACCCCAAGACTGCGTTGACCAGGTCTCCGCCGAGTGCCCAGCCCAGCCAGTCCTCCTCCTCATCATCATCATCCTCCCTCTTATCATCCTCCTCCTCGCCGTCCTCATCCGCATCCGTATCATCAGTGGCAAAGCACGGCAAGGCACGTGCACCTGGGCCTTGAACTCCTCGATCACGCATTGGTCGTTATCCAATGCCTGCTTGAACACGTTGGACACATTGGTGATGATCTCGGCGGGGACGGGGACCAGCTGAGAGCGCTCTTAATTCTTCGTAGTCGTCGTTCTCCTCGGGGAGAACGACGACGACGAAGACGACGATCGTCGTCCTCGTCGTCGTCACCGTCTTCATCGTCGTCGTCGTCCTCCTCCTCCTCCTCCTCCTCGTCGCCGTCGTCCTCGTCGTCGTCGTCGTCGCCCTCGTCGTCGTCGTCGTCCCCGATCGTCGTCGGCGTCGTCCTCGTCGTCGTCACCGTCGTCGTCGCCGTCGTCGTCGCCAACGCCGCCGTCGTCTTAAGGTCGGCTACTCGTTGAACAGCCGTTTTTTTTTTAAAAGGCTTTTCAACGAGTAGCCGAGAGGCTTCATCCGCCCCCCTCGCGCAGATTGTCGTCATTGTCGCCGACGTTACCGCCATCGCCGCCCTCATGTGGCTATCAACTACACGTATACGTGCAGTTGATAGCAGCATGAGGGCGGAGAGATCAATCAACAAAAAAGCAGCCTCCCACTCGTCCACCACGCAGCCGAAAGACACGACCAGCTCCATCTTCTCCACAGGCGTGCTGGACGTCTTCTGCTTCCGCCGACGCATGTCCTCGTCCCACCACTCCTGGCTCACGAGCGTGGCCTTGCCGCTCTCGAGGTTCTGGATGACGCGCGCCGTCTTGCGGTCAGTCTTATGCCACACCCTCTTACCAACAACGAGGCCATTGTTCTGCATCACGCGGTCGCTCAGCGTGCCGCCCTTGGAGAACTGGACGACGCCAGCGGGCGCGGCCCTGCACTCGTTGATGTCCTCCTCGGCCTCGGCCTCAAACGGAGTCGGCTTAACCTCCACGCATTGCGGCTGCGCCGCCCGCGCATCCACCATGAACTGCGCGTGGACCCCATTCAGTGTCTCGTGGCTCTTCGTGGATTTCGATTTTCTTGAGGCACGTCATGATTGATCTCACTTGCATGTCCCCGATCAGCCTGGCCGAAACTCCAGGGTCGATGCCAGGTACTTTTGATAGCCATGCCTCCGCGACCTCCGTGGCGGTGCAAATCTCCAGGGCGTCGGCTTTCAGCTTGCTGGCGGGCTGGCTGAGCGAGGAGAAGTCGGAGCTGCTGATGAGCTTGCTAACCCCGTTCTTGACGTACTGCGCTGGGCACACCATGCATGCTTTCACGCATGCGCCAATGAAGGTAGGTCCCTGTAGGAACGGCACCTGTGATAGCATCTTGAACGTGGTCCCATGCACGTCGCGCATCTTATCCCCGACGCACTTCGCATATGCAGCGACGTCTTGCAGCAACGGTGCATTGTCTCCACCGCTGTACACTTTCAGAAACTCGATCATGTCGCCAACTTGGCCGCGCAAATGTGGTTTTGTCTTCTCCATCGCCTGCTCGATCTCTTTCCACTTGTAGCTTTGGCAACTCAGCAAATTCCTCTGGCCCATGCCGTGAACTTGCAAGAGTGCTTGGATCTTCGACTGGGTGGTGCTCGCCCCGTGGTCTGCGTTGCCGCCCTCCACGGACAGCGTCGGCAGCTCTGGGAACGCCTCCTCGACCTCGGCCCTGATCACAAACCACGTGTACCCCTCGGTGCAGGGCTTCCTGAGAGAGTCGCAGAGGGCAAACGCCTTCTCCTAGACGGAGGGGTGACCAGCAACAGCGTACGCGCGCCACGGTTTCAACCCAAGGGTCGAAACTATGACTCTCGTGCGCTGTTGGCTGGTTACCGCCCCTCCGTCCTGGACTATCTTGCCCGCCTGGTCAGTGATGTGTTCGTTCTCGCTCGTACAGCCGAAGATGATGCACCGCAACAGCTGCAACGTGTGGCTGCCAGCAACGGTCAAATACTTGCAGTCTGCAGGGTTCACATCTGCAAGCCCTCCACTGCTCGATGTGGCAAGTGTTTTGTTGAACTCTACTTGCTTCTTGAACTTCGATGGGTCTTTGGAGACCTCGAAACATACAGATTCACGAGTCTTTTCAATATCAAACCCAATTGAAAGAATCATGTTGGGTAACTTGTGCACTGCGTCGCTGTCAACTCCGATGCCGTGCCGATTTTGAAAATGACAATTCAAGCTTTTCGCTGGTATGACAAGCTCATACGCCAGGTCGTGCTGCAGAAGCATCTTCTTCAGGTTGCTCAGGGCTGACGTGATCTGGGTGTGCTTGTGATTTGGCTGGCCGCCTAAAAACTGTCCGATCATCTGTGTAATAGTGTCACCGCAAGCTTGCAGTGTTTTCTCCATGCGTGAAGTTCTCGCTGGACAACCAAAAAAAAGGAAACTCATACGGCTACAGAACGGCTGCGTGATGATGAGTGGCATCCCTCTCCCCCCCATCACCGTGAAAATAATCGATATACACCTAGTCACCCCCTGACTCACACAGTCCAGAAAACATCCGTTCGCGAATCAAATATTGGCTCAGCTGCATCGAAATTCGGAATGGTCCCCTCCGAAATGTGCGACCCCCTAACTAGGATAGCTGGGTTAGCTAACTCCACGTCTAACCTACAAACCCTAATTTACGTTACCCCCCTTACAAGCTAAAAAGTAAGTGAGATCGCTAACCGCGCGAATCGACTTCCCCCAAAAAAGCTATCCACCCCCTCTGAACTACGCTTAACCAAGATCGCTCGGGTTAACCGTGATGTCCGTCCGACGCTAAACACGCTAAAAGATAAGGGGCGGGTGGAAATAGGATCGCGTGGTTACAAGTAACATTGCTAGGTTGTAAACGCTTTGCAAGCCGAGTGCAAGCTACCTGCAAGCTGTTGCAAACACCCCGAAGACTTACTAAGGGCCGCGGCCCTCGCAGTGGGGAGCCTGACTGGGCCTCGGGACCGTCAAGGAACGACTCAGGATGCACAACTGGTCCCGGGGAATGGGTCGTGACAAGGACTACTTCAAGGCGAATCCGGCCGCGTTGACGAGGGCTTTCCAGGACGAGCAGCGGCATCCATATCGTTTTGTTTTTCCACCCGCCTGACTTGGCATGGAGCAAACGGGTCCCGAGGGACCTGGGTATTGGCCCCGCGGCCTTCGGCACGGTCCGTGCACCCTCGAATGGTCTCGGCGAGGCGCAGCTGCCGAAAAGCATACCGAAGCTGAAAAGCCTACAGAAACGTGCGACAACGTATTACAACTTCGACCCCCGATCTCTCGTTTTGAGCGGAGACCGAGCATCTCGGCATTCCTAGAATTGAGCATACCAAAGGAAACCTTATTGGAGTAAAATCATGTTCTAAGATCAATCAAGGACCACGTTCTCATAACATAACACCAATGTGTTCAAACACGGCGACCTCAGCAACACATGTTCCAACAACGCTTCGTGCAGGTCACAGTTTGTTCCTAACCCATTCTTTGGTGTTGGAGGCGGCTCGGGGGCCTGAGCTGGTTGGGCCCTGAAAACTCAATCGGTGAAAGGGGGCTGAAGCCAAATCCGTTCAAAATCAGCCTCCGACTCCTCGGAACCCTCCAGGGGTCCATCTGGTGTTTCTCATCACGGATCCGTTTTTGACAAGCCCTGGCCCTGAAAACGAAGAACCAAGACAATGCTCTCAGAACAAGAGGCCGATGTAATGTTAAAATCGGGCCTGTCCCCCTACAGGGGGATTTCGACGAAAAATAAAAAATACACCCAAACTACTCCAAAAATAGTCTGGGGACTATTTGTTGAGTATTTGTTTTAACCTTTTTGGGCTATTCTTGGGGTATTTTCTATTTTTCGTAGAAAAATCCCCCTGTAGGGGGACACGCCCGACATAAATGTAATAGCATGAAGAGACGACACCCAGCGGCGACCGCCCGGCGACGAACGCCCGACGACGACCGCGCGCGGCCGCCTCCGAGGCCCGCGCGCTGCTGAGGCCCAGCGCGCAGGCGGGGCACTCGGATGGCGGCGCCCGCCGCGAGGCCGAGGGCCTCCGCGGGCTGGCCGTGGCCGCGGCGCCGCCGCCCGCCGGCGCCGCGGCGGTGGCCACGACCTCGGCGTCCACGTACCTGAGGCGACAGGCGGGGAGGCCTCCGCCCCCCCTCGACACGCCCTCGCTCGTCCACCTCGTCCGTCGCCTGTCTCCTCCTCCTCCCCCCTCCTCCGCCTCTTCCTCCGCCGACTCTATCTCCTCCGCCGCCTCCTCCCCCGCCTCCTCCTCCTCCTCCGCCTCCGCCTCCTCCGCCTCCTCCGCCTCCTCATCCTCCGCCTCCTCCGCCTCCTCCGCCTCCTCATCCTCCGCCTCCTCCGCCAACTCATCCTCCTCCTCTTCCGCCTCCTCCCCCCACTCCTCCGCCTCCTTTTCCTCCGCCTCCTCATGCTCCTCCTCCTCCTCCTCCTCCTCCTCC